CAGCTCTGGGCCCCACCGTTTACGAAGGATGTGAAGATCCTTGAATGCCTCCAGAGGAGGGCAACAAAGCTGGTGCAAGGGCTGGAGGGCATGTCCTGTGAGGAGCGGCTGAGGGCTCTGGGCTTGTCTGGTTTGGAGAAAAGGAGGCCGAGGGGCGACCCCATTGCTCTCTGCAGGTTCCTGAGGAGGGGATGGGCAGAGGGAGGTGCTGAGCTCTTCTCCCTGGCATCCAGTGACCGGATGCGCGAGCCTGTCAGTGTTTAAGAGGCATTTGGACAGTGCCCTTAATAACGTGCTTTAACTTTTGGTCAGCCCTGAATTGATCAGGCAGTTGGAGTAGATGACCATTGTAGGTCCCTTCCAACTGAAACAGTCTATTCTATTGTATTCTATGCTATTCCGTCTCCACTTACAAAACACACACAAAAAATTATTGAAGTTACTGGGAGAAATTGGGATGGCATTATCATAGGCACTTTACTGCGACAAGCACACTCTGTTGCTGATACCACAATGCCTCCTTCATGATTATCCTACCTTCCTGAAGGTGCAGTTTCACATGACTATATTGGCAACACTCTGGATCCCACTGGCTCCAATTCTTAAAAGTACCATGCATGTAAATACATGGTAGTTACCTAAAGAGTGCTATTCCAGACGTCCTAAGGCATACTGAGGTATCCACATGGGGCTGGCAGCTATGGGCCTGGACCTCTGAGGCGCCTGTCCCCTTTTGGAGCAGCACGTACCCTAGCAGCATGTAAAATGACAGTAAACGCCTGTATTCAGGCACCTCCATCTCTCCCGTGTTGTTCTGACTTGCACTATTAACAGTGCAGCTCAGCTTACCATCTCAGTAAGAAAACATTAAATTGTATAACCAGCACATTACTGGCAAATTTAAATGTATGCCTGACACTACATCTGTGATAAGGCTGTCTTACATATCCTGGACAGAACTTCCTTATCATATATGCATACAATTAATACAAACACGATGCAGCATGCAGAAAAGGAAAGAAAAAAGCGTACATAAGGAGCAAGGTTTGTGATTCTCATGTAGAAACGAGGCTTTTTGTCTCTCTTTTAATGTTAAAGTAACCTTTTACTGTAGAAAAAGTGATTTATTTTCTCTTGGTCAGCTATTCCATTCTGCAATCTTAGATTTTTAAATATAGAAAACTACAAAAATCCATACAGGTTTCTTGATGCCATTTGATGTTTCTTTGCATTTAGGATATCAACACGAGATAGGATTGATGTAGAATATATGTGAAAGTATTTAAGCTAGGCTGAGCCTCTAGAAGCTGATAGGTTTTAAACTACCCTGCAATAAATGAATCACTGGCTTCAGAATAAATATTAATAGCCATGGCTTTGCAGAACAGTTTAAGAAAACACACTTATTAAAGAAGACGACCCTTAATGATGACCCATGCTAATGCAGGTATGTTAAGGCTATGTTAAATGGGAAAGTGTGCACTGCGCAGGATAAAAATCCCCAGGAAGAGCTGCCAATCATGTACCCATGAAAAACAATGACCGTTACCCTGTTAGGAACTTTACACTTGGTAAGTGTTAGTAGGGCAGCATTTCTTAAAATGCAAACTGTAAAACATCAGAAAGCAGTTTAATAAACAGCAAAATTCTCTCAGTACTAGGAATATATGTGCACATTTTCATAATCCAAATGAGAAAGTGGAACAAAACAGAAGAATACAAATTAACAGATATTTACAGAATGAAGCCTGATTTTTATCTGGATGTAAATCAAAACCATTGTGATAACTCTATAGATGGCACTCCTTGGATTTTTTTTCCTCTCCAAAAGACTGGATGTCTGTTTCATTTTAAAAAGGCTGAGAAATACCACACTGAAGGAGAAAAGAACTCTTGAGAAGATTTATAAAAGAATCTCTCAGGAGAAATTTAATTTGCTAGCCTTTTTGGCTAGAAAGCTCTTTGGCTTACAGCTGTCAGAGAAAAAAAAACACAACAACAAACAGAAGGAAACCAGATGTTTTTGTTGAATCTATCACTGTACTTTGGAAACCTACAATGTAAGTGGAAAAAACATATTGCAAATTGTGCCTACTACTTTTTTTTTTTCCCACTCTATTATTAATGCTATGCCATTAAAATCCATTTTGGTAGTCCAAACAAGTCTTAACTGTTTAATAAAGAAATGAATTCGACATTTTGTGAATACTTATCAGACTAATGATTAGCAGATATTCAACCATCAACAAGAATGTTAAATATGCATACAAATTGTTGTAGAAATATTTAAAGTTGATTCCAACTCTCAGAAATTTGCTAGGTACAACAATTTTAAGTACCATTAAATCACTTCTGAGTAGTGAAATAGGTCTAAAAATAGAAGCAGTAAATGAACCCATCACATTCAATAGCTCTGTCAAATTAACAGTTCATCTAGAATTTCATAATAGGGCAAGAAGCTGATGGACTATGTCCAACAGACTTTAATTTCTAGCAATGCCTCTATACAGGAATCCATGTGAAACCACACTGCTCACAGACAGGACACGCTTATAAACTAAGCAGACAAGTCAAAGTTTGAAAAAGCTTCAAAACAGAACAGCTCACATTTTCACAAACTGTTCCTCTAAGGTGAGCACTGAGGGGAAAGTTCTTGCTGTGTACATTTCTCTCTTGTGTATGATGACTAGGTCTCTGGGATTTTGAGATTCAACACACAGCGTTGCTGAATAAAAAAGGCAAACACTGCTTATTAGTAACTGCTAGCATTGCCAAAACACAGGATATTAAAATGATTGCTTGTTCATAAATTGATTACTTGGTCTCAGTTTTGTCTTCCTAAGTGCACAGTGTAATATTTAAAGTCAAAGCTAGCTCCGTACTTTTTAAAACCTTGTTTTTCTACTCTTCTTAGATTAACAACAGTCAGAAGTTACCTAAAATAGCCCATTAAAATGGGCAGGAAAACCAGAAACAAACTGCAAATTCACTCTTCACCACACAGCGCAAAAATCATGGTCACAGCTTCATATTTAATGTGGAATCACTTTAAGTATACAATATTTCAAAAGATCCAGAAACTGGTTAAGAGTTAAAAGCGAACAAAACAAAAATACAGGAAATCCAAAATACATCTTTGACCTTTTTAATCCTAAATTTTAGGGTCACATGCCTGAATAGACAAGTTTTCTTTATGAGGAAAGAAACTTTGGTATGGAGTTGAACTAGCCACATGAATAGCACCGGTAGCTTTCAGAATAAATAGTAATGGCTCATGAGACACCATGGCAGCAAGATATCCTCTTAAAAAAACACTAAGAACAAGCACGTGCTTGGAGCTATATATCAAGGCTGGACAACAGAAATTAGTGTAATCTTTTTTTTTAAAGTAACTTTAAAGCATTTCTGCTTTCTATATTTCTGATGCTGAAATTAGTAAGAAATCTTTCCTAGAAGGAGAAAGCTTTCCTTTTATTTGCTAACCACTAATCACTCCCTTAAAAATTGCACTCTGATGCTTGAAGAACACTGTATTAATTTTTTTCTTTAAGTCTTTAGACTCCCTCTATTTTTCTAAAGTATTGTATTTTTACTCCATAGGCCCATGCTGTTAGCAGTAGGTGTTGCAAACAGAACATCCCCCTACTCCAAGAGTTACTTATTAAAAAGGTCAAAGATAAATTCGACCTCAAAAGGGAACACAAGTTTTTTTAATAAATGGTACCAGAAATAACAAATAACATTTGTAATGTGTGATACTCTCCTACAGCCATCGATAAAATAGTTACCGGAATGTTAGTCTATGTTAATCTGTGTTTTATGGATTTGCAACAAAGCATAACACACGTTGAACAGAATGAATGAAACTTCAGTTTCCAGTGTATAATGAATTTTAGTCATTTAATAAATTTTAGTTTTTATTTGTGTATTCCACTGTAGTGCTGTGACAACAAATCACACCTGTGTACCAAAGCATACATCAACAGTATGATGTAACTTTACTTACACCACTGCTATATTTAGCTTTTTGAAAGAGACATAAGCATACACTATGGCCACATCAAATAATTTTCTGTTTTTTTGTTGTTTTGTTTGGTTTTTTTTCTCTCCTTCCTTTGATAACCGTCACTTTTTCAATAATACTTCACTTTTAAAAATTTTAATTATTGAAAAAAAAAAATCACAAAGTTTATACAGGAATAGCTATAAGGAATAACCTCACAGGCACTGATATGATAGACATTTATTTTAAGGGCTGAGAGGCATTAATATCATATCAACAAACTTGACTGAAAAGAATGACTAACTTTGTCTAAATGGGAAATGCCTGCTTTTGCTCGTATGTTAAGAAAACAAATTCAGAAAGTTATTTTTTGGCCTTGCTATGTCACAAAGTCAATCATACAAAGACCTACGCATTTAACCTAAGATGATAGTTTTAAAAGCCCTTCTATGAAAAATAAAAACATCATGCAAAACTCTGATCAATTATGCAGCTGCTTTAAAACTGTTGCAAGACCATACTGTATATATTAGCTTTTATACTGCTAATGCACAACTAACAGCAAACTTGATTAGATTAACACAAATTTGTCTTAATTAAACTGTTATATCACACTAAGGAGACAAATGCCACAAGACTGGCAAAAACATTTAATTCTGAGCACTCAAATGGCAGGATAATTATGTGTTGTAACCCCTTCACATTTAGAAAAAAACATAATCCTGCAGTCTCACTTTACAAAAAAAAGTTCTGTAAAATATTAATTGGGAGGGGAACAGTTTATACTATCTAACACAAAGTAACTTATACAACTAGTGTCAAAGGCAAACAAAAAAACTTGTAAATAAAAAGTCAAAATACACATAGCAACAGAAGCACAAATGCTGCATTAAATACAGTCAAGATAAGACAACGCACTTGTTAATAAAAAAGAAAAAAACCAGAAAAGTTACCAAAGTTAGCAATACATTTAAAGAAAATGCAATGAGGGAAAACTATTTTTTCCTATGACAACAGAGTTTCCATTTGCAGTCTTTCCATCCATAATTTTTCTGATACAGTACATCCATTAAAATATCCAGAATCTCACAGAAGAGCTAGGTTGTTCTCTTCCCAATCTAATTCCCGAGTTGGGTTTGGATGTTTTAAACAGACATTATTATGAATGAAGTAAAAGCAAGGCAACAAATGGACTTTTTATCACCTTCGATATTAGCACTGATGACAAACATTTTTAAAAGTTATCATAATCTTTTTTGTCTTTTTTCCCCTCTGCTTCAAATCCATCAACCCCATCACTGTCCCTTCTCCTTTTACGATTATTATGGATGTTGAAGCGTTGATTCATCTGTGGTAACGGATCCATTCCTAAAACTTTGTGTATTTGACGGAATGCAAGGAGTCTCAGTGCAAACTAGAAAAAGGGTAGAAAGAAGACATTTCTGTTAGAAACAAATATCAATTTTGAGTACTTTGTCAAACAATTAATGAAGGACATTAGTGGTGTATGATATTATCCTTAACTCTCATTATCCCCTCTTCCTTCCCCAAACAAAGTCAACACAACAAAATGTGTATGTCACATTTGCTGCTTCTGTACAAAATACATCATCTTAGCTTAAAAATAATGCACATATGTTTTAGCTGCTGGACCTGCACTGCAGCAGCCAAGGCTTGTCACATGTCCCATTACACCTTAGCAATCTTTAGCAAAAGGATCAAGCGAAGAGGTAGGGGCAGTAACATCTTAAGCTGCAAGTATGAATGGTCACCACTGTAAGTGGATACAATAAATATTAAAAATTAAACTTACACAGACTTATAAATAAAATATTAAATGCCAATGTAATTTTAAATCTAATAACATACTGCTGTAGAGTGAGCATCTCTACAGATATATATAGATGGCAGTGCTTCAAACTTTTCAGGAAAATATGTTAATTTTAGTGCAAAAATGAACACTGTTACAATCCTCTGTTGTGACATTTTTATTGCCTAGCTTAAGACTGAGCATCTGAAAGACCAACCTATATTCTAAGAAAGGAAAATTCATGTCCACCATATAGCTTCATTTAAAAAAAAAAACAAAACCAAAAAACACCCCAAAAACCAGCCATCAAGTTTAGTTACTTCACACATATGTTACCTTACCTGTGCACTCGAAGTAATATCCTCTCGTTGCTGATCTGTCATTACAGCAAGTGTATCAAAAGGATCTTTTTCACAAGGGTCCAGAAGGCCAGGACCACCTACAATGGTTAGGCTAATTAGTAGCACATCTCTACCTTACTTCAACCAAGACTACAGATTTTACTTCAGTTAAGCATAAGTACACAGGCACTGATCGAATGCAACTTGCCTTTAAGGATGATTCCTGAAGATATACACTCAAAAACTCTTCTCAGTGCATCCCCAGGACTCTGTGGTCCAGTAGCACTGCTAATCGCTTTTTCCACAAGCAACTCCATAGCCTACATCAAAAATAAGAAAATACAGCCAATTTAGAAGACGGATTAAAACAGAAAAAAGCTGCTACTGTTGTTCAATACAGAACTTTTGTATCCAGAATTCTGAAGAACATTACACATCATAGAACACTTTCCAGTAAAATGGGAAAAAAAAAATCAGATCTTTTATAAAGATGAATAAAAAGAAAGCTGGTGCAAGATTAACACTGAGTACTGATACTGATATGCTGCTCATCACAAGTTGTTCAAAAGTTTTCTAGAAATGTATATAGTAGTAGCCTACATACGCAGGTAGACAATTTGTCCAGCCAGTTTTTGAGAGAGTATAAAACATGGTGAGCTACCTGAATCTGTCAGCCACATGAATATAAACAGCACACAGTGTATCTAATGAAATTAAGATGATGCTATAGAAAAATAATTTGTTTTCTACAAGAGTACAGAAACTTAAAGCATCAAAAATTTAATGATCTTTTAAGTGGCTACTAGTTCTTCAGTATAGCAAAACTGAAGTTCACAGCAAGTTTTCTCCTGGATATAGGTTAACACTAACTCTGATGTTGAACAAGTGTAAAAAAACCTTGATGATAAACAGGCTTTCTAAAATTTATACATTGTTTGATATTAATTAAAATGGTTTAAATGCTTAAATATTGTTTTTTTCTGTGAATATTTCCATTGTTTACTTTTACTAGACACTATTTTTCCCAGAAAAACCTATTTAAAAATATTTGCAAAGGCAAACAATAGCTTTCCTTAGTTTTTTTTTCAGCATTAAATGATGTTTCAATACTACCTCTTTGGCAAGTTTAATTCTCAAACAATGCCCCTCTCTTCTTTTTGGGTGTTTTTTTTGGGGGGTGTTGTATTTTGGTCCTCCCCCTCCTCAACGAGTTTACAGTTGTTCAAATGTTGCCTTTTATTTTTACTTTCCAGAAGTAAATGCCTATGCTGATGCATGAAAGTAACTATAGGCAGTATTGATTACAATCCTTCACTAAGGGTGCCCATTCCTTTCTATTTTAGCTCTATTTACCTGACAAATTTCAATTCCTGAGCACAGTATTTCCATACTCCCACTGTATTACTCAGGATTTAGCAACAGTAATTTAGTTGTTTTCAAGTATGAAGCAAATACAGCAGGAAAGAAAAAAAACACATAATGTTTTTGCATTTATTCAAGTCTAGTTCTTTTGGATCCTCATACAACACACTAAAGTCTACAACTTAATCCCAAGAAAATGTGAATTATGATGCCCTGGTGTTTATGTGCACAAAAGGCTGGATTTCAAGTTTGAAAAATCAACCTTGAATAACAGTTCCTTCTAACTTGTAGGAACTTGACAAAATTCTTCTAATTTATTTTTTATTTTTAGGTATATAAAGAGGGCGCTACTAATGTCCATATTTAGACTTCCTACTATCTTCTATTCTTACAACTACTTAGGTTCTTTTTGAAAAGCTCTGGCATCTCTTTGGTTTGTAACAGGCTTCTAGCATACAGGTTAGGAGAAGTTCTGTATCCGGAAAAATATATTTCTTAAAGCTACGAAATTCCATCTGTGACTGGCAGAAATTACATATATTTAAAATCACCATTTTCATTCTGTCATTGTTTTTATCAGTAAGACTTTGGCAACAGGCCAAAAGAACAGCTGACTACACAGACTTCAGTGTTGATCCATGTCACTGACAATGCATCAGGGACCAGGAGCAAATCAGGAATCACTTTTGGAGAGAACTGAGACATGGCGAGGCCTGACATGCTGCTTCATACCTCTCTTCCCTTCTGGATGTGCCTTAGAACAGATAATGTGAGAAATAAGAAACAGCATTCCTTGTTCTTCATCTATGTGCCTGCTGTGTGTTGCAATAATTTTAAGAATGCTTTTCTAAAAGTATGCCAGGGTTGATTCTTTGGCAACTCAGTATCATAGTGATACCAAGAGGGCACTTACATACTTCCTAGCTTCCTTTAAGCTATATTGGTACAGTGTATCTTTCATGAAATGCAGCACAGAAACTGGCACTATTTTTTACTTTAAATATTTAAAACCCAGAAATAACTGCTCCACATTTTTTCCAGAAGCAATAAATATTATCAGAAGTAATTTAATAAAATCGTCTGCAAGCTTAGTACAGTTGTAAAACATTTCTCATTGAAATAATGCCAGCTGTTCAAACTGCCTTGACAATGTTAGTACTCTTCCTGCCAAAACTGAAAAGGAAGCAGCACAGTGCAACAGGATTTGGTCTGTGAAACAAAACAGTCAGAGCTAAGTTTACTTCCACATGATACACGTTTCAGAGATTTTGTTTCAGACTAACTTTGTCCAGCCCACAGATTGAACATCTGTTAATATCTGGAGCACAAGTTGCACTCCTGGAGAGCATCACTTCAGACAGTTAATGAAAAAGGAATGCTCCAAGAACACGCGGCTGCAAGAATTAAGAGAGGTAACCCAGTACAACCTAGAGATCTAAGTGACGCTGATTAAAATGCTAATGGTGACACATCCACAGACTGAACTGAAGTACTGTGGTATTTCATCTTGCAGAAGGGACATACTAATGATCACAGGAATTACTGTGATTTGTTCTTTCAAGTAGCCTTTCTGTTATCACAGAACTATCTGGGCACAGCTGACATTTTAAATAAGTTTCAGTAAACTCCAAGCAATTCAGAATAGGTGGTTAGAAAAAATTAGATTCTTTTATACAAAGTAAAGGAAAAAATGCCAAAATCTAGAATAAGAATGCTACCCACAAAGAACACAAAAGAGCAAGAAAATTCCTTTTGGGAAAAAAAATAAATTCCATCTCCAAATGTTATAAACCTCAGAAATTAATTTTTTAGAAGGAATCTGGATTATTTGTTGGGGAAAAAATTACTCACCCAGCTTGGAAAATCAGACCAAGTTGGAACCCGTTGACAGAGGTCACGAAGAATACGTATGATAACCACACAGGACTGCAGACCATTAGCTCTAGCCTTGAGAGCAATACAAAAATCAAATTAATTAATCCCAGCACCTACAGCAAATAGGATTTGTTGAAAGACTAAAACACCACTGTTCAATGGAAGCTCAGATACAAGATTGAAACAAATCATTCTACAACTTTATTCCGTGAGCTGCCATTTACAGCAGTATTTTATACAGGGTTAGTAATTTAAGGTGGTAGAAGTCAAAGTGCACAGGTTATACAAGAATAACATTTCTTGATCCCCTGTACACTTTGACCTATGTTCACTTGTAACAATAAATACAGTATCTTTCTATATTAGAAATAAAAAGGATAAAGTAAAGATCTAAGAAATAGGTATAGAGACTGAAAGGTCAAGGGAATCTGTTTGGTTTCTTTTTTGTGCCTTTGCCAGAATGCAAAGTCACTAAACCAAACAGTTGCTTCTCACCTTTCACTCCCTACACTTAATACACTTAAAGAAATAGGAAAAAAGTCTTAAATCTAAACACAAAGCTTTAAACACATATTCCATTATTTAAAGCAAATTTACTCTGCAGCCTTA